TTCGGAATGATCTATAATCCGGACCTCAAAGCTAAAAACCTTCTGCGCATGCGCCGCATTGACATATGCGCATAGGCGTTTACGCTTGCGCATAAGACCTTTTACGACTGCGCATTTGCGTGTGCGCAAGCGCAGAATACGTTTTCGCGTGCGCGTTTTATGTGTAACAGACGGTATAAGTTAAAATTATATAATTAACAATTTCAGTTAATGTTGATGATTGCGTTGTTCCTTAATTTTCGAATTGGATCCCGGCTTATTATTTTTTGCAGACTGTTAGAGCAATTTTATAAAAGTAAGTTGGAACTTTCGATTATGTTAAATAGAATTTCCGATGCTGGATCTACAAAGGGAAAGCATGTTTCGATGTCCATCAAACAAAAAGTGGAATTGCTGCAAAAAACGGATAAAGGCTCCTTTGTTTCTCTAACCATTCAAAAAATCTGTTTATCAATTTCGCGCTGCTCTCGTTGGGAACGTCGCGGCGCGCAATGAACTGGGAGTTGATCTGTCAGCACTATCCTTATCTTCAATGCAGATGTTTTTATTTTATTCAGCTTATAATTCCTTACTAAATGTAGTATTTCATTTCAATGTACTCCGTCTTTGATATGATTTAAATAAAATTCTTAATCATTATAAATATCACGAATACAAATCAAATAGTTTTCTGGTTGCAATTTTCTAATTTCGACTATGCATAATGTATGCTTTATGCATGTGCACGTTGAAAGAAATCTTTAATAAAGTAAACAAATAAATATTAAGCTTTTTTTTTTTTTTTTTTGTAAATTTTGATGCCCTTTAGATCATAATTGCTCTTTATTTCATAAATTACAGTTTTATATTCTTAATTTTATAATTTCTGCATGCATCTTACCAGTTTTTAACTGATGATCTATAATCCACAGAAACCGATAATCCAGAATCGCCGAAGTCCCGACGAGTCAGGATTAAAGGCTTTTGACTGTAATACTTTTTTATTATTATAATTTATATAAAAAAGGCTAAACATGACTGAATGGAATCATAAGAGTAAATAACTATTTCAGATCATTATTATAATTTATATAAAAATTGCTAAACATAACTGAATGCATCTCTATTTCACTACCGACTTATCGCTAAAGCAAATTCCTAAATTCCTATGATATCAAAAAAGAATTTAAAAATTAAACTTGCATTTTAATGGCATCTTAAGAAATGTAAAACTATATAAACTTATGCAATCTGAAATCAGTGCATATGCTAGATTTGGCGTGCTGTTTTTTTTTTTTTTTTTTTTTTTTTTTTTTTTAAATGGGCGCGTTTGCTAGATTTGCCGCTTTTGCGCATACATTTTCACTGCATTTTTTTTAAGTTCCATAAAAAGGAATAGTACTGGCTTTAACATAAAGAAAACTTTTTCCATAGCTCTATATCAGGTTTAAAATATGGTTGAAATCTACACAAATAACTTCACAAGAAAGGCAACCATGCTGTTGTTTCTTGATATCAAGAAAGCACTTAACTTCATATGGCATATCAGTTGAATCTCTAAGATGCTACAATTATTTCAAGTGGATAATGGAATCAAGCTGCTGAGTAACTTAAGTGAAAATATATTTTAGTTTAAGATTGATATAACTGTATTAATATTTAAATCAGAAATGGGAGTTCTGCAGAGCTCTATCCTGGCACTCAGTTTATCTTTTCATATCTCAAAATATATCACTTTTTCAAAATATGCATATATTTTAGAAATTATTAAATCAGCAATACACATTAAACAAATTACAAATATTTCTGAAGAACATCAGTTACTAGTTTGGACAACAGAAAATTAGCTTCAATTTTTTTTAAAAAAATTTCCGATGGGTACTTTGAGAAACTGCATTCAGAACGACATTAAATAAGACTGTTTATTCTCTGCAGCTTGTCTTGGCATCTATAGGAACTCTGGTGAGAAGAAAAGTAATGATGAACTGTACCATGCCACTACTTATTCCTCTATTTTATGATCACCACATACATTTCACTGCTTGTGTGGAAATCCTAGCCTTTTGATTGAAATCAACATTAGAAAAAAAAAAAAAAGTTATTCCCATACTGTCTTAGCTACCCCCAAGAAACACAGAACATTAACAAGGAAAAAAAAAATCTGAAAGCTTTCAGATTTTATATTATGCCTAAAAGGGACGCTTTTTTAAAGTTTTTTGTGTTACTTTAGTCATTAAATATCATGTTCTTCGCACTTAAACCATAAAATTTAATTCAACAGCAATATCACAAGATATTTAAAACAGCGTATCTTTAGAATTTCCAATACACAGTCTCACATGCTGGAGATACAAATGTTTTTTTTTTTCTTACAGCGTTGTCATTGTTCGCTTTGAAATCATCATTGGGCTTCTTAATCAAAAACTCATAAATGCTTTACAAAATATGAAATAGACAATAAAACAAATTCCAAATTTGGGATTCCTGATGTCCATATTTGGGTGGAGACATGTGTTATTCAAAATTTGATGTCTCTAACTGATGATTGTACCGTTGTTTTATCACAATACGGAAACATACATACATTTATGCAGATTGTTCATTATTTAATTTCTTTAAATACAATACAGGGCTTTAATATTTGGTTGCCACAATTAAAAGTGATTCCCCATTTATAGCGAGTCAAACACAAATGCGAACAAAATAATACCTTCTTCTGGGCAAATGTCCTTTGGGCTTTAAAAAAAAAAAAAAAAAAAAAAAAAAAGGTTTTTTTTTTTTTTTTTTTCTTTTTAGAAGAATGTGTAGGTAGGTTTGCCAAATGTTTAAAAGAGATGAATGGTAATTTTGGTGATGCTTTTCTATAATTATAAATTTCTAAGAATTATCCTGAGAAAACATTCAAACTCATATCACACTGACAACAAAGTGATGGCTACATTCATGAACATTGATAATTTAATGATTATCATTCTGATTAAATGAAAATTATGCATTTTTACTAGAAAACTTTATCATTTTACAACATTATAGCAGTTAAAAAATACTGTAAAAGTTCAGAATAATTTGCACAATTCAACTCTGCATGAAGATTTTGAAAGATTCAATTTGAAACTCTGGTTAATCTTTGGAATAAGGTAACAGGTAGTTTGGCGACATTTTGGTAACGCAACAAAGGTTACTAGCTAGGACTTAGCAGTGTATATGGATAAAGTCAAGGTTTGCGCATGCCTTTTGTGCAATTCTGGGATGTTTTAAGGAAAAGGGATACGTGTCTGTGCATTCTTAAAAAACGCGGCAAGCAGTGGGCGATTCTGCATTTCCCATTTCCCATTTTGTCATGATTGCATGATTCCATAAAATTCAGCTAAGATTGTAGCAGTGTTGGCAAAAAAGAAAAAAAAAAAAAAAAAAAAAAAAAAAAAAAAAAAAAAAAAAAAAAAAAAAAAAAAACATGCCTTTACTTCGTGAAAAAAAAATGGTGTCCAAAACAAAACCAGCAGTTTGCTGTAACAGGGTTGGTCACCAAATTTTCGCCAAAAAATCGCCAAGATACCATAATCTAAAGATCAAACGAAACTTTTTTCAAGGTTGCCCATAAGTTTTAGATCAACATCAGGAACTGTAAACATAGAGAAATACAGTGTACTCTGGGATTTCTGATTTGCATAATTATCTATGTGTGGTGGTACTGTTGACTGTATTGACAGAGTAGCAAAAGCTTGGTTGAAAGTAAAACCAAAACAATAGTTCAATCATGGAGAAAGATTCTTCCTGAAATAAAATTGGAGATTTATCTAATTGTAAAGAAGCCAAGGCAATAACTGAAGTTTTATGCCACAAAAATTAAAAGGCAAAAATTTTCTAAAAGGTCGATCAGGTAAACATTGTGAAATGGCTTGATGGTAATTCGAGTGAGCCGTGCTTAAACGATGTGGATATTGTCTCACATGTCGCAAGAACAAAAAAGGCAGAGAGTGATATTAAACACATAAGTGAAGAAGATACTGACAATTACATTAGACAGGAGATAACAATGACTTGGATTGAAACTCTGTTGGACTTCATTAACCAAAGGGGATTGGAATACTATGATAAAATTGCCCTTAAAAAATACACAATAAAGTTCAAGAAATACTTAAAAGTTCTCAAAAACAAAGTAAAATGACTGACATTATAGAGCAATAAACATATACAATATGCATGAAAATTGATAGTTTGTATCACCCATGTTTTTCAATTTTAAATGACTTGCTTCCTTAACATTAGCATAAATAATTGATAGTACTCTATAGTAAACATTATTACTGAGGTATAACAGTTATAGCACATTTTCCACTACACTTACAATGTCTCTATAATACTAGGTAGTAATACTAGTCAGATGTATGCACGTTAAAAGTCCAGAAAATTTCTCTAATTATATTTAAAAGCTTTTTTTGCTAAAATACACTCACGATGGATTTCACTTATTTTAAGGAATTTCTAAACATCTTACATGTCAACTGAATTAACATAGAATCATGACAGTCTAAATCAAAAATTGAATAAAATATGCATATGTAAACCAATCGTCAGAAAAAAAAAAAAAAAAAAAATCTAACTTTTTACCAGTTATTGAAATGTACACACATAAATATAAGAGATGTAGAAGATGGATGTAATATGAATATAAACATAAACACAATTTAATCCCGCACATGTAAAATTACTAAATTTAAAATACATATCTAATAATCGTCTTATACATAACTAAAATAAATCATTACTTCTGAAATATAATGTATAATTTTATATGGACATGTTTGGCCTTAAGGTTTAAAATAATATGGGATACATTTAGCTAACTTGATTATTTCCAAGAGAAATCTATAAAAGATTTTTAAATCTAACATTTTGCAATTCTCTTCAAACTATTACATCATGTATGTATCATTAGAAACCCCAATTAATTTTTATTTCAATCTTATTGTTTTAAACACAAAAGACGAGAGTGAGTAACTGGTTAGACATTAGTTTACCTTCTGAGCAATTAACAATAAAATCTTTAATAAAGTTTTACGGTCCTTTCCATAAGAAATTTTCAACTGCATGTATTTTACTGCGTATGTTAGAATAATTTCGTTTGCTAGTCTTATTTAATAACTTTTTGCACACCGATGTCCTAAATAATGACACTTTCAAAACATGACATGAAAACATCAATAATATCGTAGACAAAACATCCGCGAA